ACCCCAGCCCTGTCCCTCTTTATTAACTTATATCCCTCTGTATTTGTCCATTTTCATTACTATCATAAAATACCTGAGGTAAGCTAATATAATAAGCAAAAGAGTTTTATTTGACTCACAGTTCTATAGATTCAAGGGCATGACCAAGCATCTGCTCAGCCCTGGTGAGGGCCTCAAAGTAGACCACAGAAGTAAATGCAAGAGAAAGAGATCACAGGAAGCCAGAATCAGACTGAGGTTCTACAATCCCTTCCAAAAATACACCTTCAATCAACCTAAAGACCTCCTAGTAGGCCTCCTCTCTTAAAATTTCCACCACCTCTCCCATTGTCAAACTTGGGACCACAACTCCAAGACATGAACCCTTGGGAGACAAGCTTCAAACTACAGCATCCTCTATGCTTTGCCTCTGCTGGACAACCTGCTATAAAAGTCACTCCCTGGCCCCCTCTTAACTCCAGGTTTAATTATTCCCTACTCTGAGTACCCACAGAACAGTCTATTTTGCTAATAGTCTGGACCAGGATAGCAAACTACTAAGAGCATACACTTGTTTGAGTAAGTCCCCTGACTACAGTCTGAGCTTCAACATCCTTCGCTAGAGGAAATAAGAGTATCTACCTTGTAGGAATGTGGTGAGAATTATTTGAGATAGTATATGAAAGAACCCAGCTCAGTATGCAGAAGATGGTAATTAGGCAACAAATGATGCCATACCATCTTGTTAGCTAGAACTGGGGCCTTGCAGAATTGCAGAGATATTGGGGAAACAGCCAAGTCTGGGTTCCCCATAGTAGCATCAGAGAGGCTTGAACCAACTGCATCATCGGGGATATCCAGCCCTCAGACCTTTCCAGCATCTCTCTGAAGACTCACAACACATGATGGCCGGGAAATCCTGCACCCACACATCCTAACTCCACCCCTTGGTGTCTTGCCATAAACCCAGAGCCACCACAGAGCCTGCGATGAAGGTGAGAAATAACCAGTGAGAAAAAAACAGTGAGTTTTCATTGGAATCTTCCACAGACTACTTCATTGAATGTTATCACTGTAATGTATCAGTCATTATTTTAATTGTTGGGCTTGGGTTTATTTTTTTTTAATTTCAAGCAATCAGACTCAGCAGACATTACTCATTTCAAAGAAAGCACTTTTTACTTATTTTTAAAAATTTTTCCTATTTTGGCCAAATAGCGGTTTGGGCTTCCTCAGAATATGAAGGTTCTTCCAGCTTCCCTTGCAAGAAGCTTCTCAACGCATACTCAGAGCAAAAAGGAATTTTGAGTTCTTGGGTCCCTTTTGCAAGGCAAGAGGCCCTAATTCTGGTTATAACTAGCAATGATGATGAAAGTGCTTTGCAGCTTCCAATTTTTGGATCTAGTTCAGAACTGGACATTTTTAGAGCCAGAAAAAGTTGCAAGTGCCATCTTGATCAGCTGATTGGTCAATCATGAATTTCTTCCTGCAATAACTCACTTTACAGTACACAAAGGATATCATTACCCTAATACCCTCCAGGGCTCTGATGTATCCAGGATGAAATCCACTCACCTTACCATGTCCTACAACACAAGACTCTGCATCAATTCCATCTTCTACCATTGTCTCTGTCCTTCATACACTCAGCCACGTTCACCTTCTCCATGTTCCTGGTCAAGCCAAAGCTTGATCCTACCTCAGGACATTTGCCCTTAACATTCCTCCTAGGACATGGCCCTTGATTGGCTTCATATACCTGACTTAGCTCCAATGTCACACACTCAGAAAAACCTTCTCCAACTATCTTCAACCAAGTACCACATCCAGTCAATTGCATTACAGCATTTCAATTCTTCATAGCAATTATCCTTAGTTAACATTATCCAGTTTGTTTCATCTCCCTCTAGCACAGCATATCCCTGCCTATCTTGTTTATCACTGTGTCCCTGAGTAGACCCAGTCCCAGCACATACAGAGTAGGTGATCTGCACATTTGTTCAATGAGTGAAGAAATGTAATATCCTCTTTTTAAAGCCTGTTTATCATCCAAACCTTTTGCAACAGACATTACTATTATGCTCATTCTATAATCACAAAAATGGGCTCCCCAACCACCTTATCTAGTTTTTCATTGCTACATAACAAACCAACTCAGACTGCCCTGGCTTAAAACAACAAGGGTGTGTCGGTCTCTGTACTGTGGCTGGCTTGTAGTTCTTGTGCTGGTCTTGTCTGAGCTCACTCCTATTAGCATCCAGCTGGCAGGGCTGCTCTGAGGGCTAGGGCCGTCAAGCATCTCTTGCCAAGTGGTCTGTCATCCCAGAGGCATACAGTGGTCTTTCATCCCAAAAGTCTTCACAGCATGGCGGTCCCAGTTCCAAGAGGGGGAAAACTCAAGCTGTGAGGTCTCCGAGGCCTGACCAGAAGTCACACAGCATCACTTCTGCTGGATTCTGCTGGTCAAGGCCAGCAGCCTAAGATGACCCAGATTCAAAAGACTAGACCTCCTGATGGGAGGGGCTGGCCCACTGCTGAATTGTCACTGCCATCTTGGAAAATCCGTGACAGCCAGTGAGCGCTGGAACCAGCCTGGCTGAACCTATAACTCAGTAAAATAGACCAAGGCACTGTGACCTCCAGTGATATAACTTTTCCTCACATGTCCGCTGGGGGCTGGCCGGGGATCTGAGACTTCACAAGGTAAAATGTCTATAAGTGTTCAAGGCTGATACATTCTCCTATTTTCAATCTGCTGTTGATTGAATCCTCAGATGCGGAAACTGCAGATGTGGAAATCCGACTATAATCTCCTTTCTGAAGACAGTTCTCATTTTCCCTTAGGGATAACCAACCTTGTAATTTTCTAAACCTTTTAATTATAGCATTTATTCATTTACTCATTCAAGTAACATTTATTGAGCATCTCCTATGTGTAAGGTACTGTTTTAGGCTTTGGAAAGACATGGAAACAATATACAAGGTGAGATTGAAAATGATGGTGAATATATAATTTTTTTAAAGTTTATTATGTAAAAAAATGCATTGGCATTTATCCCCCTTTAAAATAATCATCTTTCACTTTGACCACACTTATCCCATCATTCTTGCCACTTTCTGAGGCAGTTCTGAAAGTCCTCTTTAGCTGCACTGTCTTGACTACCTCAATGTCTTGAATCTATTAAAATCACTTAACTTTCCTGGTCTTTTGATGTTGGGGAAGAGAAAGAAGGTGTACAGTGCCAGATATGGTGAATAAAGTCGATGAAGACACACTGTAGTGTTTTTATGAGATTGCCTTTCTGTTGGATGGCACTAGGCAGCAGAATTCACATTTTTGGTCACACCTCATAAAGGCACTCACCAAACAGAACTTCCAGAATTGCTTCAGAAAGTGGCAGGAATGATGTGAATAGTGTGCTTGAAATGAGGGTGCATCTTCGGGAAGATGAATGTCAGTGTGTCTTTTACTGAAAAAAAAAGTTTCAACATTCACCCAATATTTCTATCACATCTTGTAGACAAGTTCCCTGCTCCTACAAAAGTTGTATTCTAGGGAGATAAAGCAGAAATAAGCCCAAAAACAAACAGATGAACAAAATAACTTTAGACAATAATAAATGCATCCATCATCATAATAAAAATGGTGCTATGAAAAACACAGTGGCAAAGAGGCAACTGCTTAAAGATAAGATGGTTAGAGGTGGACTCTCTGAGGAGGTGATCTCCAGGTAGCAAGAGCAAGAGGGAAGAGTGTTCCCAGCAGAGGGGACAGCTGGTGCAAATGGCCTGGGGTATGGAACAGGAACAAGGAGGAAGCCACTGTGATTGAGGCACATGAAGGCAGGCAGCGATTGGTGAGAGATAAGGTTGAACAAGTGGATCTTGCAAATCATGAGGACCTCTCAGCAGTGAAAAAGGGCTTAGATTTTATTCTAACTACAAGAAATCATGAGAGGTTAGAAGGCAGCAAGGGAGTAGAGAGACACAATCCAATTTACACTTTTTAGAGAGTGTCTGGGCTGTTTTGTGAATCGCAGGTGAACAAGAGAAAAGTCCAGAAGACCAACTTGGAGGCTCTTGTTTTCTTTCCAAGACTACGGTGACTTGGGCACACGATGCAACGATAGGCTCATTGGAAGCTGGCAGCACCACAGAGCACAGGAAACCTGCAGCCCTAGCATCAGGTAGTCGGGACAATGGCTTAAGGAGTGTATCCATCAGCAGTAGCCTAAGTTTCAAATTTATGCCCAGCAAGCCTTCTTGCAAAAGCTTTATGGCTCTTTTCCAAGCTTCTGCAGAAATCCCCTCCACATAACAAATTCCCCAAGCAACCAGGAGCCACCCCCTGAACACCCGCCTCCCTCTGAGCACCATGCCCAGGCTGAGATCTGAGCAGTCGGCACAGTGGCCCAGACACTTGACAGTTAGGAGAGGAGGTTTCCCGCCTGAGCCCTCCCTTTCTCATCTGGAAGGTGGGTGTTATTTGCCTCTTCAAAGGTTCCTTTTCTCAAAGCCCACTTTCTTCCTCTGCCAGCCACCCCAACTCTTCCTCCTTTTTCAACCGGAAGAAATCCAATCCAGGGTTTTTTGAAGTTTTGCTAACTTTTTTCTCTAATTAATAACTACTAGACTAATTAATTTCCATGTGCCCTTTATCCTCAGGCCTTCTTCTGTCTTTCCAAATTTCAGATCTCAGAATTATCCAAGCCCTTTCCTTTAAAACTAGTCCAGCAGCTGAGTCCTGGTCATTCAAGGTGAAGGACGTCACCGTCACCTATGATTAGGTCTAGTGCCCTCAACCCCCAGGGCAGGCCAGAGGCCAGCCTGGGTCACAGCCGGGGTCTCCTCCACTGGGCCAGTGTCACGGGTAGACACTGAGTCTGGGGGGGAAAGTGTCACAAAAAGGAAAGGAGTGGGTGGGAGAGAACAGAGGAGCGGGAGAGTGGGGACAGCATGTGGGTGCGTGTGCGTGGGGGGGCTGGAGAGCTGGAGAAGGAAGGAGCGGCAGCGAGCTAGGAGGAGCAGCGAGTGGGGGCGGAGACGAGGAAGTGGGTACTAGGCGCGGGCTGTGCGCGCAGTCCGCCCGCTCCATCCCTGCCCAGGGCGCAGCGGCGCGGGCTCCGGGCCACTGCCCGCGCCCAGCGCAGCGGCACCAGGTAATGCGGCCGCAGCCTCCCGCAGGGCCTCGGCTCGGGGGAGATCGTGGGTGGGCTGGCGGGGAGAAGGGGCAGGGGCTGCCTTGGGCTCTTGCTCCTGGATCCTTTGGCCGTCGTGGCCCCGATCCCCAGTTGCAGCGGGGCCCCACTGCTTGCTCCTGGCGCCTGACCTTGGGCAAGCGCCTCCGCTAGAGAGCCTTAGTTCCCTTCTTTGCGACCCTCGGGGATCTCGCCCGCCCCAAGGGGGCGTTGCGACCAAGGAAAGCAGCCTGAGCCCGCGGCAGTACAAAGGATGTGAGATCCGCTTTAGGTTCCCTGCGCCGGCGTAAGGTAGGTGTGGAAAGTCCACTTGCGCCTAAACAGTCCCTGTTTTGTCCCCGGGTCTGTGTGGTGGTATTTTTTTTTCGGGAGATGTGTCTGTCGGAGCACGGAAGGACTGTGTGCTTAAGGAATGAATGCCAGTAGAGGGCCTGGGCCGGTGGGGAGAGGACTTCTAGGTTTTCAAGAGGACTGGCCTTTCCCGTCTTGAGCTGCTGCTCCATGCCCAGGAGCGAGAATCAAGCACACTGGGTGGGTGCGAGTCCTCAGGGGACGTGGGGACAGGGATTCTCCTGCAAGATGAGTGGGGCGAGTGGCCTCAACTCTGGATCCCATGTTAGTCTTGTGGGTGGCACTGTGACCTTGAACCTGTGAGTCTGTTTCCTCTACAGTGGAAAGGCTCGAGTTAATGCTCCCTTTGAGGCAGGTTGTGAGCATCAGGGGGTGGGGTAGGAAGGTGCCTGTGCACTCTGGTGTCCCCCAGTGGCAGGTGTCATACCCTAACTCGGGTGGCCCAAGATTCTGACCCATGGTTGTTTCCCCTGAACTCACGTGTGTAAGTCAGGTCCCCCCAGTTCCCCTTGCCAGAAATGGACAATGGGAAGAGCATGAAGCAGGGATGTACATCCTCAGGCTGATGCTTCTCTAAGACATGACATCTCTCAGATGACCATTTCTTTCAAGCCTCAGTTTTCTTATTTAAAAGAGGAAATTATTAATTCCTGCCTATTAATGAGTTCCCTGTCTCTAGAGATTATCCAGGGTAATTGAATAAATTGCATTTCTTGATATCGTTTATCTTAGGCTATAAGGAGAATTGGAAATAATAATTTAAAAAATCACCTTTCTTGAGCACCTACTCGGTACAGGCCTGGTACTAGATGCATTATGTATACAGTGGTGGCTACAGTCTTCACAACAATCCTGAGGAGCTAGTGCTGTCACACCCCAATTGACAGATGAGGAAACCGAGGCTTGCCCAAGTGAGTGACTTCCACACGGCTTCCACTGGTAGGGAATGCCTGCTGTGGGATTCACCTGCTTGATTCTGGGGTGCTTCTGATGGTACCATACTGACTCCAAACTAGGACTATGTAAAATGCGTAGAACAGTGCCTGGCACCTGCCATGTGGCCTGATCAGTGTTGTTTCTGTTCTGTGTGCAATAGGAAGAGCCACTGCATAATCACTGGAGAAAATGAACCCAAAGGTTGGCAATGGGTTGTGGGTACCTTTGCCAAGCAATTTCTCTAGGGGGCTAGAAGAAGAAGGTGACTGCTCACTACTTAGGGAGCTGAGAGCAGGCTGATTCACCCCAGCCCAGCCGGGCAGCTTTCTCCTTCATCTTGTCCCAGTGAACCTCTCTATGAGTCCCAGCTTTGACTGATTCTCCTAGGTTCACTGGCAAGAACTTTCCCTGTCTGTCGTAAGCTGATGACTAATTGAACTGACCCTCCCAGCCAACTTATCTATGGGGAAAACAAAGCCAGCTGTGGTCCTTCTTCACTAACATCCCAAGAAGGAAAAGCAGGATTAAAGTCCATTCCCAAGAATTGAGCTCATCCTTGGGAAAGAAATCCCTGCTGATGGGGAAGAAGGCTTCTCAGCAGGCCGGAGAGGTTCTTTTGCCAAAAATGTTTTAAAGGAAGAGTACATCCAAGTGAAATGACAGGGATATAAACAAAGGTGCTCTCAATTGCCAAGATATTCATCAAATGTCCAACAATAGACACAGCCATGTGGCTATGGAAAAAGGAAGGCTTTTAATGACAGCGAACGTACATTTGCATACATAAGGCATGGTCCCAAATTTGTGGCAAGAGCTTAGGAAAAAAAGACAGGACGGAAATAGGCCAAAAGAAGGTTAAGAATGTTTGCCTGGAGATGTCAGGATTATGGGAGACATGTTCCTTGGGCTTGGCAGATGTGATGGAATGAGCATGTGCTTTAATAATCGATAAGCATAGACCTGTCTGGCTCCTAGTGCTGTGGTCTTGCCGACAGAGGAGGGCTGTGCACTGTGTGGTTCTGTGAAATGGGCCCCCAGTCTGCAAGGCCTCCAGGTCCATCAAAGAGACTGAACTGTCTCTAAAACTAGTGTTTGCCAGATTGAATTTTTCACCATTTTCTTGCCTACTGTCTTATCCCCTCCAATTTTGATTCATCCTTTATCTCATTGTCAGTTTGATAACACAGATCTGAGACTCTTTCTCCCCTTTCAGAACTATTCTAAGACTCCCATTCCCGAATGAGCCAAGTTCAGAGTCCTCAGATAGACTTGGACATTCTAGGTTCATCCTCTGTGATCTCTGCCCCTCCTCTGCTCCAGCTGCCCCACCCTGCCAACCATCCACTGCTCCATCTCAAATATCTCACCCAGCTGGTTGTATTGGCAATGGTCTTCCCACCTCTCAGGCTTCACACTTGCTGCTTCTCTCCACTCCAGTGCCCTCTTTACCTTGTCAGTCTTCTTCCTGCTCATCCTCCAAGCTTCCATTGAAACCAGCTCTTCTGGAAACTCACAGCTTATGGATACGTTCCTCCTCTGGGACTCCCTGAAGATGGGGACAATAGGAAGCTACTCACCCTCTTCCTCGCCAGCACTCAGACAGAGCTGGCACATGCCGGCTTGTCAGTGATAAGGATAAAGAAGAAGGGGTACTTAATTATCAAAACCAACAATATCTGACCCTTGTTGCACTCCTATGTGCTCACAACAACCCTCTGAGATAGGTATTACCTGTGCCCTCTTTTCCAGAAAAGAGACCAAGAATCAGGCACATTTAGCCTCTTGCTCAAGGTCACACGGGATTCAAACCTTGACTATCTAAATGGAGAGCCTGTGCTCCTACCCAGAGTCAGGGAGGGTGGGCAGATTCAGTGAGCCGACATTGAAGCCACTGTCACAGAAGGCTTGTGAGAAGCAGCGTGCCCCTGCTCTGTGCCCTGCAGAAGTGACTCCATGGTGACCTTGAAATGTTGGGCTCTGTGCTGGATGCAGGGCCCCGATGTACAGGACAGTCACAGACGGTCAGCCAGCATCTCACAGGAAGAGGCCAGCGATGCTGCTGAACACTGCACAGTCCTCTCCATGGCCCCTTCCCACAGCAGCAGCGAGTGATCCTGTCTAAAATGTCATCAGTGCTGAGGTTCAGAAACCCTGGGTTAGAAGAGAGGCCACTGGCACATGGACAGCGTCCACCAATGTGCACTAAGTGCCTCCTACATCCGGGCCTTTGATCCTGTGGTTGCTCTGTTGGCCTCCTCCTTCTACTCTGTCCCCACCAGCAGCCAGGGTGGTCTTTAAAAAAATATATAAAATTTACTAATTTAAACCATACAGGTCAATGGTTTTGAGGATCTTTTCAGAGTTGTTTAACCATCACTACTATAAAATTTTAGGACATTTTCATCATCCCAGAAAGAAATCTGTGTACACTAAGAGTCCCTCCCATCCAGCCCCCACCTCTACCGACTCATTAATCTACTTCCTATCTCTATCTGTTTTCCTACTCTAGACATTTCATATAAACACAATCACGTGGTATGTGGCCTTTGTGACTGTCTTCTTACATCTAGCATAAAGTTTTCAAGATCCATCCATGTTGTATCATGTATCAATACTGCATGCCTTTTCATGGCTAAATAACATTCCATTATATGAGGAATTCAGTACCACATTTGATTTACCCATTCATGAGTTGATGAGTATTTAAGTTGTTTCCATTTTTTAGCTATTATGGATAATGTTGCTGTGGACACCTGTGTACAGGCCTCTCTGGGGATGCATACTTTCAGTTCTCTTGGTTCTATACCTAGGAATAGAACTGTGAGGTCATATGATAATGCTGTGTGTAAACTTTGGAGACACTGCCAGACTGTGTTCTGAAGACACTGAACCATTCCTACCGGTAATGCACAGGGGTTCCAGTCTCTCTATGTTGTCTTTTGGACCATAGCTGTCCTAGTAGGTGTGAAGTGGTATCGCTGCAGTTCAGGTTTGCATTTTCCTGTGGGCTAAAGAGTTTGGAATCATTTGGGGTACTTGCTGTCTGGTGTCTTCTCTGGAGAATGGTCTGCTCAGGTCAGAGTCATCTGTGTTGTGTCATTCCCTTGGGTAGACTGAGGCAATCTCCATAGAGATCTACAGGGCCCTGCTCCATCGGGCACTGCCCGTGGCCTTGGTTGCATCTCTCCTCAGTCACTCTGACTCATTCCCTCTCCAGTCCTTCGCATTTGCCACTTCCTGTGCCTACCAGCCTGTGCATAGCTGTTCTAGGGCCAGCCTCAGAGCAGCCTTCTCTGGCCTCCCAACCTCAAGAGCCTCCTTTCAGACCCTCTACAACACATCTCAGTTTCCCATGATCACTTCCTCCTCCCTGATATGATCTCCAAGACCTGAGCTCCAGGTATGAGTACTGCTTTCTTCCACTGTGCGACCCTAGGCAAACCACTTCCTCTCTCTGGGCTTCTGCTATTCCCACAGAAAACCACAGGTGGCCATGGCTGACCCATCTCAAAAGGCCTTTCCAGCTCTGCCCTTGTCCGATGCTGTGCGACAGCCAGGAGGCTGTGGGTCCAGGACTGTCACAGTGAGAGGAGGGTGCTTAGTGCCAAGCTGCCCAGAGATGGGAGCAATAATGTGGCCAATTGTCTGGAGTGCCATGGGAACAGTCTCCAGGA